GGAGGGAAGGAGAAAACCTTATTGTGCCATGTTCTTCTTAGAAAGACAGGCAGCTGTTGAAGGCTTCTCTGGAGTTGGGGATGTTAGAAGTAGTCCCAGTGGAAATGGAGTGGTGGGCAGAGTACCGGCAAAGAGATCAAAGCTGTGAAATAAATACACAATTTATTGGTTACAGAAATACAATTGACCTGTAGCTATCATGAACATAAGTGTTATTTAGATTTTGCCTGTATCTTTAAAAGCAGAGAGACAAATCGGATGGAAATTAACTACAGAAAACCTATGTTAATGTAAAATGAATGCTGAAAATGTAAATACACAAAAAGTTAAATCTCCCATAACAACATCAACTCTTTCACATCACACATATTATATGGGAAGGTAAACACCTGACATCCAAAGTAATAATCAGAAGTAATATGTATGTAAGAACCTTAACTGGGCTACTTCTTGACTTCTGTGTTGTTGCATTTGGAACCTTAGGCCCAAATTATGGCTACGTTGTGCAAGTGCACCAGATGGGGGAGTGGGCCCAAGAAGCCCTTGCCCTCATGCACACCCAACAAAGAAGGTAGCCATTATATAACTGCAGGGAAATGAGAGGCAGGGACCAGCTAGCAATGCAGGCAGAGCTAATGGCTTTACAGAGAGATTCGTCTGCTTGGGGCAGGACATAACAGCAGAGCCGTTTTTCAAAGGCACAGAAAAAGCAGTTCTCAAAATGTTCTCACCACTGCTGGTGAAGGCATATAATGCCACCAGCCACCACCACTTGGGTGGTGTGCTGCCTCCTCCAGTGTACCACTGCCTCACAGGAGGCATAATTTTACTCTTAACATTGTATTAACCTAAGTATTTGCATTCAGCATTTTATGAGAGTCTTATATGGATCCTACACTCTTCCATTCCCAATTATTTTCCTATGTGCAGATGGTGGGACTGGCATGCACCTTTGCCACCCCAACACTTTACCAGTCAGGGGCTCATTGTGCACACTTATCAGAACTGTACAATGTGCTTTATGAAATGTACATTTAATCCAACACAAAATTTCATCCATCAAGGACTGCAGCCCATGGTCGTAATGCCCTTTGGCTGCCATATCCCCAGTATCCGCCATAGGAAGTTAAGCCAGCCCCCTGCTAAGATGAAGCCATGACTTTTCCCTCTAACTTTTCCCTCCTGTGGCTTTATATGCAGAAAGGTATGATTCTGCACCTAAACCACAGTGGTGTATCATCGTATGTGCTCTCAAACAACTGACATATTCCACAAACAATGCCTTGTAGTAGTTGGTAGACAGCATGTATATAGAGTTGTAACCAGTTTGTAAAGTATGCAAGGGGCTTTGAGATTAATTATTACTCTACCAATATCTGAAATACAGTTTACTTGGTTTATTTTCTTATCATCAAAGGTGAGTTAAAAAATACTAATACAGTACTTATAAATTGTACCTCTTCTGGTTTATATAAAACTATAGTTTTTTTTTTAAACTTGCCTTTTCTTATAAGACATATCCTTGGAGAACAGTCCATTCACTACGCTGTTAGACTGCAGCGTTGAGGGAGAAACTTCTTAAAGGCAGATCCTGTCTGTAGGCATCATTTAATCTGAAATCAGAATTGTTTTATTGGCACAAACTGATGGTTTATCTAGTCCAGTATCTAATCTCCAGCACTTAAAAATGCCTAATGCTTCAAAGGACGATACAATGCCCAATAATACAGCTAATTGTGCAATACTGAACCATTAAGGGAGATTTCTTCCCAATCAGTTTATGGCATGAAGACTGACAGTGGTGGACTTTGTAATTGTATCCTTGCTACTGAAATATGAGATGTTATGACTTATATGTCATTTTAAAACATATTTTTAAACTAAGTTGTTTTCTTCAGTAACATGACAGCAACAAATTCCATACTTTGGACTTTGCATTGAAAAAATATTCATTTTTATCTAGTTTTAAATTCGAAGACTTTTTATTTCATCAAAGGTGCTCTTTTACTTAAATCATATGAATAGGTAAACAGAAGAACTTGAATGGCTTCTCTACAGTCCTTGGTATTATATATTCCTATATCACCTTAAGCTTTAAGGTTTACTCATATGGAAACTCTGTTTCCACTCCCAAATACCTCTAATAATTTTCATTGTTCTCCCTCTGAACCTTTTCTATTTCTGTTGTATTTTTTTAGATGTGTTCAAAATTGAATGTAATATTCAAGATGAGACTATACTATCAGTTTACTAATGGATATTTTCTACTATCTTATTTGTGGTTTTGATCAGCACTATAAATTGAGTATACACTAAATCTTTACTGGGAGAAATTACAACTAATTCAGAATTAGATAGTTAGACTTAAAATAATATCAGGGCCTGTCTTTTTAATAAGCAATTTTAAACAGTAGTGTTGTAGTCTTAAACTGGTTTATTTGGAAAGACCCTGATGCAGAACTAAATAATAAAGCAGAACAAGTTGTTCCTCCAAAACTTCCAGGAGTATAAAACTTTAAAACAACCCCAAGGCAAGGCATCTTTTACCTCATGTTTATTGGGCTTTGTTCACTAATAGAAAGCCTTACCAGCTGAGAAGTTAGGAATCCTTTGTAGTACTTCTCATTACCCCTGATATTTTTCCATGCACCACCCTATTGGGAAGTAAAACAGACTGACTGATAGTGTTACTAATGAGACATTGTTAGGTTAAAAAGCCAGTTATGTTTTTCAAGGTCTCCTCAGTTATGTCATTAATAAATACTTTGATTTATTAGGAACATAGGACTGGAAAGGACCTCCTAGTCCCCTGCTATACCAGTCATATAATCTTGTTCATAAACTTATCAAACTCCATCTTTCAAACGAATTGGGTTGTCTGCCCCGGCCCCCAACTGCTCCTATTGGAAGGCTGTTCCAGAATCTCTCCTCTGGTTAGCAACCTTCTTCTAATTTCCAGTCTAAATTAGCACTAGAAGCACTGATGAACTTTAAAATATATTTCAACATTTAAACTGTTTACTTTTTTCACATTACTCAACTTGGACAATGAAACTGACCCACTAGTATCAGTGTCTGGTTCTCATGCACTAGTACAATGTCGCAGTGAGACATTGAGGAGTGTTGGGGGATTTTTAAATCTAAACAAAGGTGGGTTTTGTTTGTGTGTGTTTTTTTTTTTTTTACTTTAATGAAAACACTATTCTATTAAGGTTTTTTTTAATGGGGTCTGGGTACATGCTGCATGGCAGTGTCCTTTTAAGTGCATTAAGATATCTACAAACTATTAGCCTTTCTGAGCATGAAAAATTTGAAAGTGATATTGTGCCTGAAGATTAAGTGTATATTATCACTGAACATAAGCATTTCATAACGTGAAAAGAAAAGCTGTTAACCCTATCTGTTTGTCATATGCACACATATATTGTAATCATAAGTATACTGAAATGTTACTTAGGACTTATTCAAGGGCAAGCCTTTACCAGACAATATACTGTACTATGTGCTACACCACCTAATGCTGCATCTATATGTAGAGAGGGAGAGAGAACTAATTACAGGGCCTATTACTTCAGCAAATGGAAAAAATGCACAGAGAATAAAATCTATACAATTCTGGTAACATAGAGCCAGTTGCTAGTAACCATCAATGTATATTCTCAAATACTTTAGTTTAAACAGGGATTGACCTTTATATTGGTATACATACATCTTGACAGACTATTCTCACTCTGTTTAACAGTTGAAGTAACTAAAAACATTGTGTAAGGTATATTTGCTAGACCCATTTTTAGCAGTTTTGCATATGTTAGCGAGTCCTCACTAACAAATTACCCCTTTATATCCAGCGCCTTGTAACATAGCACTGGAAATACAGTTTTAAAATAACGTAGAGACGCAATTAACATATTTAGGTTGTGTATGTGAATAATTAGTATTTAATGCAAGTAGAGAACAGGGAGTATAACAAAAAAAGTTAAGCCAATCTTAGTCAATACATTTGCTTCTTTATTTTAGAATATACTCTACATCTGGATAAAAAAAAGTTTTAAATAAGCTTCAGTACATGTACAGTAATGGTACCCTTCATCCGTCCAGCAATACAGGGATGTAGTTTAGTAAACTGGCTCCGTCCTGGGTAACACATGTAATTTTTACAACAGTTTTGTTATTTTCATTGGCTTATTTTCAGCCTCATATCAGCCAGCTATACAGCCGGCACATACATGTACAAGTCATCAGTCTCCTTACTTGGAGGGGAACAATAACTGCTCACCCTGGACAGAACATAAAATCGAATGAACTAATATTGATTAATGTACACCTTTCTCTGTTTGTGCGTTGGTAAAAAATAAGAGGACTGCAATTCTATGAGCATGCAAAGAAATCTTACACATTATATACACGTCTTTTATTGTTATAAAAGTAGTGCAAAACAGGAAAGAAAGAAGTGATGCAGTCTCCACTAGGAGGACGGCCGCCTCCGCCACCACACGCTGTCAGTAACTGGCCTCGGCCACCCTCCGTCATTCATGCTAAGCTCCCAGTCTAGGAAACTTGATACACACACGCCGCTTTGCTGCTGCTGCTGCTGCGTAGGCAAAGATCCCCGCCGCCGTGCAGCGCACAGCTGCTCGCACACCCGGGCAGGATGTGCCCGCCATGCGTCATGGTCCCCTCCCCCTCCTGCTTGAACGTCCACCCGCCCCAGCCGCGCGCGCACACACACACACACACACACACACACAGGTCTGCCCCTCCCCCTGCACCCCTCCTCCACGGTCGCAGTCATTCATTCATTCCCCCTCTGGCACGCGCCCCCACCCGCTTCCATTGTCACACACTCGCTCCCCCTCCATGCCCATCCCATGCTCATCCCCTCCATTTGCACCTGCACACACATGCTCCTCGTCCTCGGACGCGTTCCCCAGAGCCCCTCTTCCCCGTCCCCCGCAGATAGGGATCCCTTGCTCGGCGGCACCCCCCCCCCCCATGCCAAGCCCTGCCCTGGCTCAGTGCCCCCAGTTGCTGAAGCCGATCTCCTGCTTGTATCTGTTGGTGAGCACGTTGGCCTTGCGGGTGAGTTTGGAGAGCACCGTGTGGAGTCCGCTCAGGTGATAGTGAAATTGCTTCTCCAGATCCTCCTCCTCCACCGCGGCCTCCGGGAGGCCCCGGCTAATGTCCCCGCTCAGCTTGTCCTTCTTCCGGCTAGCCTCCTCGGCGCCCTGCTGCAGCACCCCCCACTCGATGTCGTTGCGGATGGACTTGAGCAGCAGGTAATGGCTGTACATGTCCCTGCGGGAGAAGAAGGCGCCGGCGTCCCCCGGCGACAACTGGGGGTCCCCTTCCCCGCAGCCGCCCCCCGAGTCCAGCTCCTCCAGCAGCAGCGGCACGTCCCGCAGCAGGCTGGGCACCATCACCGTCTGGTCCATGTTGTTGACGGCCCCGATGAAGCGGTTCATGGCGTTAAAAAGGGAGTGTTTCTGGCTGTAGGAGTCGCAGATCTGCATCATGTTGGCAGATGGGTGGGGTGCAATGCCAGTGATCACCGGGTGCCTGGGGAGCACGGACACAGCAGCCGGTTCCTTCTTCTGCCCCACCAAATCTCCTTGCAAGGGCCACCAGGAGCCAGGCCTTGTATCTCCAAAGCCTCCCCCCCGTTTGCTCGCTGCAACGCTCAGGGGCGGTTTGCTGGAATAGAGAAGGATAGATGGTGTTTAGATGGAGGGCATTTTGCGCCATGCGCTAACCCACAGTTATCAGTACTTCTCCTTCCTACCCATAACCCTCTCCCAGAGCTTCACCTTTTTCTCCCCCTAGCCCTCAGCAAACTCCTTCCTCACCCCAGTCCCCTTCAGCTCCCCATTTTAATCCCAACCCCGCTCTGGACTTTGCCTCCGATCTTTCCTCCTAACTCCTCTATCCGTGCACCCCTGCACCTTCCAACGCCAAGCCCTCCGTTCCCTCTCCCTCATATCTCCCGACCTCTCTCTGCAAATCTTCTCTGACCTCAACCTCTCTCGGTGGCCCCCCTGCCCAATATCTCGCGGCATCCTCTGTCAGTGCATCATCACCAAAGCCAGCAGCTAACGGAGGAAACCGAGCTGCTTTTCGATTTCTCATTCAGAAGATGCAAGGGCAACTTCTTCCAGTCCACACCCCACGGCTCAAAGCATGAGGCTGGGGGATGGGGACGGCAAAGGGAGCGCCTCTGATGGCAGAAACACAACTCCTTGCAGCGTGAATAAGTTAAAAGAGCCCCCTATGAGCGTGACACGGCCACAGATCCATGCAAGCCGCCTTGGGAGCTCCCACTGCCATTCACCCCATCACCCGCTCAGATCAGGGGGACGCCGCAGGCAGCCCACACCCACCAATGTCCTGTTGAGTCGAGCCTCACTGCCGGCTCTCTGGATCTGGCTGCTGCTGGTGTCCGGGTGTCCGTGCGTCACTGTGTCCCGCTGCGGCCGGTAGCCCTGCTCCCATTCCAGGTGGTGTATTTATAGCGTGTACGGTAAAATAAGGTGTTCCCAAGTGCCACCCCCTTGCAGTGGAGCAAGATAAAGGCGGCTCTGAGTGACCGCGAGTAACACCGGCTCCTGATACAAGGGACTGGAAGGCGGCTCCGCCTCTCGCCTGACACCCGTAAGGGGAGGGCGCAGCGCGCACCCGGAGGCGGAGCCTGCCAGAGCCAGTGGCTGCGGGAGCGAAGCCGGGCGGGCGAGGTACCAGCTCCTGCTACAGCGCATCCCACCCATCACTCTACATCCCGGCCGGTGACTCGAAAGGAGCAGCTACCCGGAGGTGCGCAACTCCCCTGCACCTATTTGCATCAGGGCCGAACTTGGTCCTGTTTCCTCCTGATTGGATCGGTTTGTTATCTATAGCCACATCCATCCATGCCTATGTATAGACCAGCCGCTCCTGACTCAATCCCGTAGGAGTCGATGTGGAGAGCAGGACACAGCGCGGAGTGGAATGTTGACTCTCTCGCTGAATCACAGTTCCGTAGCGGCCGGGTAAGCAATGCAAACAGTGGCAATGTAAGCCCAGGAGGCAGAAACCTCGGGCAACTGTCAGAGAGGTAGTTCCAGTAAGTACACCAAGCATCCCAGCAGGAGAGGTCTGGCATTGGAAAAAAAAGAAAACTCCCTCTGGTTCCCAGAGGGAACCAATTTAATAGAGCACAATCCTCCTCCTCCATGCTCACACAGGGATAGAGTGTAACATACCTTACGCCAGCTGCCACCAACCCACAGGAGGAAAACCCCTAACACAGTCAGCCTGGATGGAATTCCACGCCCAGTCAGCAGGAACACAGCACTCCCCAAACCATCCTAATCCTCCTGCTCTAACAAATCAATTTTACTTCTCCTCCCCAGACCCCTAAAGGCGGAAAATCCACCCACCTCAATCTTCAAATTCCCGCCCCCCCCCCCCCAACTCCAGACAAAGATTAACACACCCAGCCTTTTTTTTACGTACACCATTTAGCTACTCTGCAGATAAGCCCTTTATATATGCTGGGTGGATGGATAGAGAGCCCCTCTCTAGAGACAATATCGACTTCAGACAGATATGTGATATTGTGCTTTAGCGATACTTGTATACGTTGGTCCAAGAAAGAACTGAATTGTGTAATACAGCAAATCCTCCCCATGCCCAGAGAGACAGACTGTTACACCCAGCTTTAAATTGGTTTCCTCCACCCCCCTAAAGCCCAGAGAAAGGGAGACTGTAAAGCGCCCAGCTTTAAACTGTCTTTCGCTCCGCGGACCATAATCCAAAAACAGGGAGACTGGAACAGACCCAGTTTTAAACCTCTTTCCCACTGCCCAATATGTATGTTTGCACCTCGGTATGTGTCTGCAGCAGCAGGTTGTAACGTGCCTGTTGGGACTGTATTTGGCACGGGTGATGATGTGGCACGGCTCTGCTGCATTGTGGGGGAGGGGGATCGCAACGGGTAGGTCTCATATATCTTAGCGAGCGAATAGATGGTTTTGCCCGCCTTAGCTGCATAGCCAGGCACGCCCCAAAGTAACATGCCGGCCCCGCATGCTGCTGCCTTAGAAGGGACTTCACAGCGAATGCGATTCCTCGCGTTGCGCTCTAAACGGAAGGGAGAGCGAATCAGCAGCCCCGCCGGGTGCACACACAAACTCTTTTCCGGTTCTGGTGCGCAGCCGGCGCTCTGACCCCACGCATGCGGAGGGGGTAATTAGCCGGGGCGGACACGGTTTACTCATGCCGGGCAGGAATGTAGTCCTTGTTAAACCGGTCTCACTCGACCTGCTGTCGGCCTTCGCCCAACAGAAGCGACGGCCGGGAGGCGCGCTGCCCAGCTGTGCCCTGAGCGGACTGGCTGACATTGGCATGCTGGTCAGGGAGCACTGCCCAGCAGCGAGGGCAGAAGGCAGAGCATTACAATGCGCCGCTGTGCACACCGAGACCAGGCCTCCCTCCCGCCTGATACGACACATTGCCCGGCTCCTGCCTCCCTTCCCCCATCAAGCCCCTTGCTGTAGCAGCAGCGCTGCGCATTTGCAGCCAATCTGTCCAGCAATAGCCCGGCTTCCTTTGCGTTGTCCTATCCCAGCTGGGCAGCCTCGCCGCTGCGCTGCCCCAGCCGCGGCTGCAACCAGAGCAGGCTACACCGCGAGCACGTGCACGGCCCTTCCCCCAGCCCGGCTGCAGCAGGCGCCGCTGGAGGAAGGGCATTTTAGGCCAGGCGCGCGACACGCAGCCCAATCCTCCCCCCTTCCCCCAGGAAAGGAGCGGTCGGGCAACAGGCGCGCACGCGGCCCCGCCCTATCTGTCTCCGTGCCCGCGTCCGGCGAGTTAGCGGGCAGTGCCGGGCCCGGGATCACCCCACAGCCTCACCTCCAGCCTCAGCCAATCGGCTCGCGTTCCAGTAGCCAGGCTCCGCCGGCATATGCTAATGAGCAAGATTCGGCGGTAGCCAATCAGAAACAACACCCCGCTCCCTGTCTCTCTCTGGCGACCGTGGTAACAGAAGCGGCCGCTGAAGGGACACGTGGGACAGAGGGAGAGTGCCGTGGAGCGTTACCTTGACAACTGATCAACCACAACACGGGGCGGGGGCCAACAGTGGGCATCGATTCCTGCCCCGCGCAGACCTGGCGTAATGCCTCAGCCGCTGTGTCACAGACGTCCCGGCATGGGAGAGTCCAACGCCTTGGCTCGCAGGGAGACTGGTCCCGCCCTTGTACTGCAAACACCTCCTGCGTTTCTGCAAAGTCGGGAGCACGCCTAATGCATGCACAGATAGTGCGCACAGGATCACTCCTAAGGCACACACACACCTAATGCACACCTGGCCACAGGCAGAAAAGAAGCACAGCTAACTAAAGCACTTGCAGAGAATGCACACCCAGAAAAACAGCTGCCAAATTAAACTAAGACATTTTCCTCTCCGACTCCTAGCCAACGTACAAAAGCCACCATGAATTTTCCGGTGCCACCTCAACCACAGCAACAAACGGTCTGTCCACTGCAAGGAAGCACTAGCAAGTCAAAAACTATTTTTTTCTGGACATGAGCCCACGCCTTGTAATAGTCATATTCAAGTTACTGGGAAGAACAGATGAAAAACGACAAGCTAGCGTACAAGTCACACACTACAACTAGCAAGTCAAAAACTAATTTTTCTGGACATGAGCCCACACCTTGTAACATTCATATTCAAGTTACTGGGATGAACAGATGAAAAACATCAAGCTATGGTAGCATACTACCATACTAGCAGATGACCTTGTCACCGCCTGAGGGGCTCGAGGCGGACTTCAAAGGGTCCGTTGGC